CAGAATGATGGCAGAGACCTCTCTTTGCAAGCACAGGCATGCAAGCCCATTTCAAGCCTCTAGTCATACCATGGCTAAGAACATTCCACTGGCCAAAGCAAGTCACAGGGCTGAACACAAAGTCAGGGGGCAGGGAAATATATAACAAATACGAAGGGCAGGGACATAGGGAGAGGCGATGAATCAGGCCAATGAGGCAAAATCTCCCTCTTTTTAATCAGAGGGGTAATATCCCCCTCTTGTTTGTTGTTATAACTTTATGGTTACTTGTTTGTCTTTTTAAATGCAAGTATCTCAGTCCAACCCCCGTTCCTTGGCAAGAATATCGAGCCACAGAAAGGTGGAAGTTAGAGTTCCTAAGTATTTAATGCTGCTCTGCTGGTTTCTACCATGAAGAAACTCCAAGGAGAAAAGTCCAAGGAGAGAAAAATGCCTTTTCCAGGTCAAAGAATGAATGAGTGGCAGAGGGTGGAGCAGACCCAGATCTCTCCACTCCTGCCTGCCCAGCACACCTCCCGCTCTGCAAAAATCAATGGGGTCAGAATCAGTGAGATTTTCTTGATGCTTTTTTTCAAGTAAACAAGGGAGCTATTGAACTCCACAGAGAACAAGATATCTTATTTGAGTTAAAAGAGCAGCACAATAAAAATGTTTAAAGAAGTCCCTATAGACATATTTTGGATCCATCCCTTCACTGTAACTGAAATTAGATGTTACCAATGAACACAGGCTTACATTTAAGCTAGTGATTTCGGAGATTGATTTGTACTCCCTTAAAGTGTTTTAAAAGCAAAAGTATTAGTAAAATCATGTACATCATGTCATTTCAAATATGCGACCCTCAAGACATGGAAATGTTTTCATTTTAAGCCTTGATGGGGTTTCCTTTTTCTTTCTTGATGACATGCAGTTGATTTCACTTTGGTAGGATTCACTCTGTCCAAAGCTGGAAAAGAAAGCAGCATGATCATGAAAAAAGAAACACCAAGTACTGAGCCCTGCTTTGCTTGGACCCAGAGTCTGAAGATCAAACTTATCCTCGCCAGACAAACCTTCCCTCCCCCGCACCCCCCAGCAGCAGGATATGACAGGTAGTCCCAAGTCTGGAGCAGCAGCTGAGTCATCCTGCCTGTTCTGCCCACCACACCGTGAGCACCATCCCCCCGATGCTCCGGCTGCAAGCACTCTGTCTGTGCAACACCGGAGTATTTAGAATCCCTGCCAGCACACACGGACCACAACTGGGGCAGAATCAGAATTTCCAGAGCTAGAAAGATCTCAAAGATCATCTGGATGGAGGCTCAATTTAGGGGGGAGTAGAGGCCCAGGGAAGGAAAGCATCTTGCCCCAGACAGCTCAGCTTGGTAAATGGTTTAGCAGAGGTTTGATCTGGTGATGTAATTTATGGAGGTGATGGTCTCCTTTCTGTAGGGAGAGCTCCTTGAGGGCTAGCTTTCTGCTGATTTCATCTCTGTTATCCCTATTAACATATTAGTATCCTTAGGATTGACACAAGGCTTCCTGGCTGCTCGGTGAGTCATTCCCTGGGCACTTAGTACCGTCCTGGGCCAGCCACAGGCAGAACTTGGTAAACGTGAACTGAAACCAGTCCCTATATTTGTGTTATGTTTTATGCTTTTAAAAAGCATTTTACAAGTTGGAGTTGTATGCCACCAGTTCAGTAATTCCACATTCCCTGGAAATGACTTAAAAAGAAAAAAATAGTAACATTTAAATTTATTTAATATTTAAAATATTAAAACAGAAAGATGTTCATGACAGTGATTTTTATAACAGTGCAAGGTTTGAAATGGTGCTAAGGTCCAACCATAGGGGACTGTTGAAGGAAGTGATGGTTTCATGCGGCCATTTCCATGATGCAAAAATTCTTATGTGATAGTATTAAATAGAAAATAAGATGCAAAACTATATATATCCTATGATCACAACCTGAAAATGCATTCCCCCCAAAAAAACCCAACCCCAAGTCAAGAATGTCAAAAAGCTAGGAAAACCCCACATCATTGATTGTCTTGGATTGGGTAGATTCTAGTAAGGGTTTTTAAAAACTGCATTGAGGAGTTTCCTTATTTTGTTTAATGAGCATTTATTCTAAAACCATCCTCTTATTTCAAAAGAAAAATCACACCACCATATATTATCTTGTTTGATCATGGCAGTCTCCTAGCAGCCCAGATAAAGCACACTTCATCATCCCCCATTACCTATACAATGGGACAGAAGCTCAGAGATATTTTTTAAGATTTCATTTATTTATTTGAGAGAGAGCGAGAGAGCGCATGTGCGAGAGAGCACGAGGGGGGTGGGAGGGGCGGAGGGAGAAGCAGACGCCCCACTGAGCAGGTCCCAGGACCCTGAGATCATGACCCCAACCGAAGGCAGACGCTTAACCGACTGAGCCACCCAGGCGCCCCTGAGGTTTTTGTTTTTTAAACTTACTCCTACTACTGAGTGTTGGAGCTAAATTCACACTCAGATTTCCAGACTCCTGCCTGGTGCTCTTGCATTGCCCCCCTGCCTGACAACACTTGCTCTTCAGCCTCACCCAACAGGACGGCATGCTTTGTGGCAACTGTGAAAAACCAGCACTTCGTTCCATCACACTGGCCAGTGATAGGACCCTTTCCCGTTTTGCTGCATCTTTACACCCCCTAATAATGTTCGTGTCTTAGTTGCAACACCCATTTAGCTGTCGTGGCTAGGGAACTCACTAGAGAGCTCTTTTTAAGATTCTTTTCTCAAAACCTAGAGCAGACACGGAGTCTTGAAGCTCTGTCATGTGGCTATTTTTCTTCCCATTGTAGAGATAAGGAAACTGAGACCCAGAGAAGGTAAGCAACTCTCCTGGGGTTAGCCACCTAGTAAAATCCAGCACCGGCAACCCCCAAGTCCACACCCTTGGTCATTCTGCCACAATCTGTCTCCCAGACGTACCTGATAATAAGAAACCCATGTGGTCGTGAAGAAACGTAGATTCCCAGGAGTCTCCCCTGTCCATCAGGATTCAATAGTTCTTGGGTGGGGCCTGGGACTTTGGATTTTAAGACACACCTATGTGAGTCTCCTGATGCTATAACTGTATTGTCTCATTTTAATCTACTGTCTCATTTTAAGACCCTACACGCAGAGTCTGCTCAGCAAACACAGACCTCTATATCCTTCCTCCTTGCTCTCTCCTACAGCTGAACTCAGCCATGTCTTTAATAGGTGAGGTTAGCCAAGCCCAGCCCAGTCTTCATGGACTGGGGAAAAACGCATGATTGCTCTCTTCTCAACCCAAGGAAAGGGGAGGTCAGAAATGTACTGTGATTGGGCGTTTTGGGGAAAACATGTGAGAAAAAAAAAAACCCAAATCAAACCCTAGGCAGTTGCCATTGGGAATCATTAAAGTTCTACTCAAATATATCAGAGATTCAGAGTACTCCTTAGCCTGAGTGTCCTATGGGAGGAGGTGCTGTTACTGTTGCCTTTATTTTTGTAATTTCATCTTATGGCCAGGATTAGGGCCAATAACTTGTTGGAGACAATGTGCTGGGATGGAACAGCGCCAGACTGAGACTCGGGAGATCTGGGCACACCTGCTAAATGGCATCCTTGAGAAAAGCATTCCCTGCTCAGGCCTCTGTTTTCTAGGCTCTGAAATGGGTGGACATGGTCCCCTCGAAAGCCCTGTGATCTCTGGCAACTGTGAATTAAACAAATCAACAAACTAACACAAAGAACAAATAAAACCAATAAAACAAAAACAAACAAGAACTCACGACACTTCTAACCTGCATCATGCCCAGTTTGGAAAGCCTTCCTAGTGGATCAGCGCTGATGTATTTTTCTGAGAAGGCATTCAGCAAATGTTCTTTGGGTACCTTTTCTGTGCCAGGAAACTGGGGACAAAATTTCTTGAGCCTTCCCTAAATCCCACTGAAAACAAAGCTGAACCAAACAGAATATTGTGACCTTAAGTGTTTACAGTCTAGTCGGGGGTGAGGGGAAGATAATTAATGAATCACATAAATAATGGATACATATAATATATATATATTATACCAATGTGCAGAAACTCCAATAACATACTAATATTATTGGCGCAATATTGGGACAGGGGTGAGTGCCATGAAGAAGACGGGGTGGGTAGTGTAAGCATGTAGGTCAGGAAAGCTTCCTGGAGGAGGTGACAATGGAGCTGAGAAGGGAAAGGAAACTTGGAACTTATGGCTCATTGTGCCTTAGGCCCTAATGGTTGTGGTCTAATCTGATTTTAAATACATGGAAAATCCAAAAGGAAAAACTCAAAAATGAAATAATCCTTGTTCACACCTAGTAAACTTGTTCCCAAGCCAGCAGACCAGATCTGTCATACCAGCCTGAGCCACCTTGCACTGCTCACAAGAGCTAGTTGTTAAATTTTCAGGAATGTTGTGAGTTGGTTGTGAAATGCAACCATTATTAAAAGTTAAACTATATAACCTTTCCGTGAAGTAAATCTTATTAAAAACAAAGGTAATATATACTGAGAACTCATCACTTCTTAGTTATTTGTACTGTGCTGATGGTCTTGAGATGATTTATATCTATTGTGTGCATATGGTGGAAATGCCATACACCTGGTCCAACTGTGTGTCTCTTCCCAATTTCTCGCTCAGTGAAGGCATACCGGGGACGCGAAATCGGTCATGGCAGGATTTACACCACAGAAATCGGCCAACGCTAGAAGTCAGGGCTTCCTCTGTTTCTCCATCCTGGAGAGCCAACCAGCCGCGAAACCAATGCACCGCTGCCTGGCGCTGTCCTTCGGAGCCCCTCACTCTAGGTGATCCCTGAATCCCCCAGTCAGGTCAGTCAGTTGACTGAGATCGGAGGGCCGGGTGGAGGAGTCACAGCTCAGTCCTTGAGGAGCACTCAGGCGCACCCAGTTGCATTAAGGAGAGAAACGTCAGTGAGGAAGAGCACGGCATTGCCATCGGAGAAATGACTCTTCTGACTCAGCTGGAGCTGGTATCGTCGGATGCTTTGCTGGGCGGCCGGTGGTTCTCCAGCAGAAGCCAACGAGCCAGTCGATGTTCCCTCTTTGCTGGAAAGAAGGTGGAGGTCAACAGGTGCCAAGACAAGAAAGAGGGAGGTGAGTAGGTTGTGAGAAGGGAGAGTAGAGATAGAGGTGTGTGGCTGACTCACCCTGGGGAAGTTTATTACCACTCTTAAAATGAATACAGTAATTCATGCTCATGGCTTGAGAAATTCGAATCCGAGATTGATGGAAGGTGACAAGTAGAATCATCTCTTTCTCCCTCCACTCCCCAGTTGTGGTTTCCTATGTCTTCCAGACTTTCTATGCGGATGCCACATTTCTCTCTCTCCTTACTCCAACCCTCTATGGGTTGGTCAATAAGTTGCTTTTTTGGGTTGTTTTTTTGTTCACTTAGCGATGTCACCAGGCTCTGCGGAGAGAGTGGTGCAACCTGATGTTTAGAGCAACATTCTGGAGCCAGACTGTCTTGGTTCACCAATGTACCAGCAGTATAACCTTGGACAAGATACTCCCCTGTGACTCAGTTTCCTAATCTGTAAAATGGGAACAGAGTGATAGTACCTGTCTCCTAGGACTTTGTGAGCATTCTGTTAATGAATACGTGTGGAGCATTACACAGGAGGTGGCATGTGTTATCTTTCGGTATCAGATCATTTTCCTCACTTTATTTTTTTTGTCACCTACTATTCCAATTTATAAGTATACTAAAATACATTTAACTAGCTTCCCTTCTATGTAGGTTATTTCCACTTTTTTTGCTGCTATACACAATATAATCATATATAAATATATTTGCACAGTTGTCTGAGTTTATGCATGAGAAAAAAATTCCTGGAATGGAAGCGACTGGCTCAGAATGTGATAGCTTTGATGGGTTACTCCAAATCCGGTTGCAACAAATACATGCTCTCACAACAGAATGTGAGAATGCCTAGTGCATTTCAAAGGCAATAAGCATGGGCATTAGCCAACCTTTCATTTTTGCCAATGCAGTGAGGGAAAAGTGGTCCTTTATTGTTTACATTTTCTAAATGGCCAGTAAGTTTAACCAGCTATTCATAGTTTTATTCTCCAATAGCATTTCTTCTTAAAAACACAAAGTATTTCTGTTTTTGACTCCTTTCTTCATATTTTCACAGTTTGTCTTCTTGTTTTGCCACACAAACTATTTTTACATAGTCCAATTTATTCATCTTCTGTTTAATTGTTTCTGGGTGGTATGCCACATATAGAATAGCCTTCTATTGCCCTTTTGGTAAAACAAAACTATGTAAGCCCCCTTCCAGTTCTTTTTCTTTTTTTTTTTTTTTGAAGATTTATCTATTTTTTTGAGGGAGGGGGAGAGAGAGAGAGAGAAAGAGAGTGCATGAGCAGAGGGAGGGGCAATGGGAGAGAGAATCTCAAACAGACTCCCCTCTGAGCTCAGAGCCGATCCTGGGCTCCATCCCAGGAACCCAGGATCGTGACCTGAGCCAAAACCAAGAGCTGGATGCTTAACCAACTGAGCTACCCAGGTGCCCCCCTTTCAGTTCTTTTATGGTTTCACATTTTATAGCTAAATATTTGAGACATCTATAATAGTTGTAAAAAGTGCATTAATGATTAATTTCATTTTTTTCCAAATATTTAGCCAGTTTCTCAGTGCTGTTTATTGAATAAGCCATAGTTTCTCCATCAGTTTGAAATGGTACTTTTATTATGTATTACATCCCCATATATATTTAGCTTGACCTCTTTTGGTGATGACTTTTTTTTTTTTTAAGTAGCCTCCACACCCAGCATGAGGCTTGAACTCATGGCCCTGAGACCAAGAGTTGCATGCTCTACCAACTGAGCCAGCCCAGTGCCCCTGGCTTAACCTCTTTTAATTCTCTTTCACTAACCTGCCCACCTGGCTCTGCGCCAGGACCACACTGTTTTAATTATTGCAATTTTTAAATATGTTTTGATACCTAGTCACGCTTCTTCCCTTCACTATTTTTATTTTCAGAATTTTCCTGGCTACAAGACAGTTTTTCCATATGAATTTTGGTATCCTTTTGTCAAGTAGCTCCAAAAAATGTCTATGAAATTTGAAGTTAATAACACCCACTTGACGGATGTGTTAATTAACTCAGCAGGGAGAATCCTTTCATATATTGTGTGTGTATATCAAGTCATCACATCATAGACTTTAAAAACTACAATTTTGTCAATTATACCTCAGTAAAACTGGAAAAAATCACCTCCTTCTTTGAAAAGCTTGTCCTGACCCATTTTCTCTTTTATTCCTCATAATGATGCTAGTAATTCCAGGCCCCCTTTACAGGTAGAAAACCTGTCGAACTCAGAGGAGTGATGACACTTGCCCGCAGTCCTAAGATTCAAACCCAAAGTTTTCTGACTCTAAATCCAGAACTCCTTCCATCATCTCCAGAGAACTATAAATGAAGGAATTAGTTAAGAAAAATGGGGGGAAAATACATTTAAATCAAGAGCCAGAGAAGAAATCAGCCAACCTGAACTCATCTGGAATCCAGGTATGTGTTGAGTCGCACAATGCGTCGTATCAAAATGAAGCCACCTGTCCACCTATCCGGTACAATTCTGACCTCACTCAGGTTCGTCCCTATGAACAAATATGGAGCTGTTACTAACAGCAAAGGCTCCAGAACTTCTTGCTAATATTATGTATTAGGTACAACCATGCTGCCGTTTTGGGCTGCTTACTTAAGAATGGAGAAAAAAAAATAACGCTGAGACTTTGATCTTGTGTTTTAAATCTGGCTGTTATAAATAGATAGAATTTCAGCTTAAATATACTAATGATTTTTTTCACTATGCAAATTATATTGGTTCCTTAGCAACAGAACAAATAAGTGTTTCTCCTCTAATTCTGTGTATGTTAGTTTAGAGAAGGCACACAATAAGTTAATTAGAGAGTGGTTGGGGGTGATTTGTAAATGTCATATTAACATGCTGCTTGCTTTTGTAGCGCCCAAAGACATTAAGATATATGGATGGTACTTCTGGCATGGTGGATTCATTTTTTTTGTCTCTAGAACCTTTCCCCCAACTAATATTTGGAATAAAGGTTTAGAAGTGGCATGTGATGCCTTTGGTTGCAACTTCTAATTGCAGAAGGGCTCGGTTTTGAGGAAAATAGATCTATAAAAATCAAACCTGAAAAATAAAGATAAATTAGGGAAATACACTGGAATCCCAGAGTCTCAAAGGTGCTCCTTATAAGCCTTTGATTTCATGGGGATAGAACTGAACATGACTTACCTAAGGGCCCGATGTCTGTAGCAGGCTGAGCTTCTAGCCAAACCCAAGACTCCCAGATCCACCTGCCAGCCCCCTCTCATTTCAAGGCTTGCCCTATGTTTCTTAAGTAGCCAACTCTTTACTGTTCATTGGTAAGGCGTTTTCTGTTTTCTATTCACCTTGGACTTGATTTCTTCTGTCGCTTCTGCCCACCACAAATGAGTGGTCTGCATTACCTCTGATTCACGAACTCTTTCCGGGGAGGGGGGTAAGGTGGAGGAGTGAGTTGGGGGAGAGGAATTCTATCTTATCTGGGATAACTTCTGAGGTAGAAAAGCTGAAAAGAACTTTGAGAGAAAAAAAACAACAACAAGAAATTAATTTATTAAAACAACCACTTGCTTTCTATTTTAATTATTTTAGTTGTACAGTGTAAAACGTTTTGATGGGCTTCTATCTGCCTAAACCACCACCTTTATTTTGACTTTTAAAAAATGGAAGGCAAGGACTACCTTTCTATTTTACAGCACCTAGCAGACTGAGGAAAAGTTCCATGCACAATTGTACAGACCCTGTATTCAGAGACAAAATCCCATCTGGGGCTGGTTAGGAATGCATTTAGCTGCAAGTCACAGAAAACCCCACCAATCGTGGCTTAAACCACAGGACTAGTCATTGCTTACCTTACCTTCAGTTTGGATGGGCTCATTTTCAGGATCAGTCCAGAACAGAAACGACGTCAGGGTGGCAATTGTCGTGATAGTTGGTGCCACTGCCCCATGCCTCAGGACCTCACGTGACCTGTCCAAAGGCAGGAAAGGCAGGGAGGCCAGGAAGTGAGGGGTATCCTTATGTCTCTCTTTCCTTTTATCAGGAAACAAACCTTTCCCAGAAGCCCCTGGGGGGTGTGTTCTGTGACATCTCACTGGCTACAACAAAACCAACCTCAACGGCAGAGGAGGCTAAGAAAGCCTTCTTGCTGAGAGGCAAGTGAGGACGGAAGGGTTTGGGCATGCTGCCGCCTGGCAGCCAGTGGTGACTGCCAGCAGAATGCCCAACCCCTATGCCCTTGGCCTTCACCTTTCTGTGGACACACTGTTGTTGTGTTCTACCTTGAGTGGCTGAGGGCTTTCTCTTGGCTGCAAGTTGGCAAGACCTTGGTGCCAGGGACTTGTACCCTGGGTGCAGATTGGACATGAAAGACAAATGGGAGATGGAGGATTTATACCCCGGCTCCCTCCTCCTTGGGTGGGACAACTCTAAGGCATACCTCACATCCGTTCCCAGTGGTTCCTGGTGGAAAAATGACCCGGTTGCCCACGGAGGTCCCTCATCTATCAACACACCCTGAGTTGGCTTCCTTGCTTTCTCTGTCATGCTTCCCCATTCCCGCACTGATGTTTTCTGGGATCGTCTTCCAAACCAATCGCTTGTATTCAAGTCTTGCTTTAGAGTTGGCTTCTGGGTGGCAATCCAGCCTATGATACTGGCTATTGTGAACCTCCTTAATTTCAGTTCTTCCAACTGTGGAAGGGAGATAGGAATCTTCATTCAGGTGGGCTCGTTGGGAGGGTCAGTGAAAAAAACGTCCATGCAAACATGTTGCAAACCACAGAGCATTCACTAGACACGGGGGTAACGTGGGCTGGAAAACACAATGTGCCTTTTCACCTGACCCATCAGTTTGGATTCCGTTTCTGTAATTCCGCCCATACTTGCCAAGAATGGAGTCTTTGGGCAGAGATCCTTTCCTTTGACAAGGAAAGGAAGTGTAATTGCTAAAGTGGTACTTTCCCTCA